CCCCAAAACCCCAAAACCCCAAAACCCCAAAACCCCTATTAAAGAAGATCCTTTTGAAACAATTTATTAAATTTAGTTCGATTTTACAAACAGTAAACAATATGAGCCATTCTGAAAACAGTAAAGATGAAGAACCTCCTCATGAGCGTAGTAATTTGACATCTCCTCCTCAGTATGAAGAACCTCCTGCAGATCCAGAAGTCTTACCTATCTCTGATCTTGATCCTTTCAGGAAGAGGTGCAGATATACTCCTCTGTCACTAGTGAATCCTGACCCTTTTAACACAACTAATCAAGATTATATAATGAAGCAACACGAGTACAATGCTGACGAAGACTGGGATATTGAAGACGTCGGACTCTGCGACATCGACATTTTGGAAGACACCCTGATTGGCTACGGTATTTACAAGAACCAGCCCAAGATGCTTATGTGCATAACTTTGTTCAATGAAGACCCTAAAAGACTCGTAGAAAGCTTGGCTGGAGTTTACAGAGCATATTATGAATTGTGTAAGAAAGCTTCAGTTTGTTTACAAAATTAATTTTTATTCGCATTCACATCTTCTCATATGGCTTACATATATAATTCGACCAGTTGAAGTTATACTGTCAAACTTTAATCTGAATTCTGCTGCTTTATGAGCTGTATCTTGCCTCTTGATTTGATTTCTTAGCTTTCCTTCATTGACGCTAATTTTCTAACCTAAATCTCTAGTGGATCTTGACCCAACATTCTTGAATAGAGTTCATGTGGTGATTATCACTGATGGATATGAAACTCTTCTTGAAAACCCTCAGCATCAGGAGGTATACGACAAGGCCAACATTCATAGCATTAAGAAACTAAACCCTAAGAAGTACACCAAAGCTACAATGAAGCCTGGGCTTCAAGGGACTGAGTTTAATTTGCAAAGCTTGTCTTTTATCAATACAGAAAATATGATCAGTAGAAGGATCGAGACTAGAGAAGAGAAAGACGATCAAGAAGAGGAAGATGAAGAAGAGAACAAAGAAGAGAAAAAGGAGAATACAAAGGATGATGACGAAAAACAAGAAGTCAAGATTGAGTTTAAAGATATTAAGGCTTACGGAGCGAATAACATTGGTCATTGATTCTCTAGAGTTATGGACTTTAGTGAATGGGAACAAGCTCTCTCGAAGCAACAGAGGAATAATTTCTTTATCAATGGATATGATGTTTATGACTTCTTGACTGGAGATGATTCTGTTGGAAATGTCAAGACTAAGAAGTACAAGGATTATCCTCTCCCAATACATTTTGTTGTGAAGCATCAGAATCAAGGGAAGCTCGAAAGCTACAAGTGGTTCTACAACGGCTTTTGCAAAATGATGAATCCCAAGTATGCCCAGTTGATCGAAGTAGGAGCTATTCCGCAGTGGAACTCTATCTCAAGGATCATTATGCATATGGAGGCGTTTCAGAATGTAGGAGGAGCGTGTGGGGAAATTGAAGTTAAGCTGATAGAAAAGAAAAGTGACGGAGTCCAAGCGGTGTCATTTGTAGAGAGCTCAATGATGAGAGCACAGTATGTGGAGTATAAGGTCTCGCATTATATGGACAAGGCTACAGAGTCTCTTTTTGGATTTGTGACTAGTCTTCCAAGCGCGTTTTCGACGTTTAGGTGGGAGTGAATCAAGGGAAGACCGATTTCGCAGACTCTGAAAGGAGCAAGAGATGATTTTAGGGATGTGAGGAAAATTATGTCGTGATATACTTCTAATAAATACTTGACTGAGGATAGGATAATGGCAATGGAAATTGTTTGAAAAGAGAATGAAAATTATCTCACCCATTATGTTCCAGGTGCTAAGTGTTTGGTAGATTGCCCACTTTCTCTCACTGGTCTGATCAAAGAAAGAAGAAGAATTTTTAATGGATGGATGTTCTCGTCTGTACATTTGCTAAAGTCTACTTGTAGGGTCTGGAAAAGAAAAGGATCATCTTTTATAAGAAACTGTTTCTTAATGCTGCTATACTTATACATGGCCATTATTTGGATCTTGTTCTATTGCATGCTCGGGCTCTTTTACTCGGCTTTCAGTATTTTTGTAAGAGAAGTTCTTCCAGACGATAAGTGTCTCAGTGTCACAATGGCATCTAATTTATTAGAGAATGTATACCTAACCTTCTTGTTTATAGTCCTAATGCTTTCTACCTCAGTTCAGGTTCTCCATGCTGAAGTCGGATACCGTCTATGTTCTTTCCTAATGGGGCTATTTTCAATAGTTTTAATAGTATGAGCTGTATTTTATGCAACTAAGTCAGATGGAAATTTACTAGCCGTTTCTCTGATAGGCTTCTTTATTTTCTCGTTTATCATTCCTTTGATATTAAATATTAAAGATCTCTACATCTCGGACGTTGTCAAAGGAATAATATATGCGACTTACTTTCTACCAACCTATGCTAACATTTTCACTATCTTCTCAATGGCCAATATCCATGAAGTAGCTTTTGAAACAGTCTCTGGAAGTTTAAATAAAGATAAAGAGATTGCTACTAAGGTCAAAGAAGCAGCGGCTGAGAAATACGAAGATTATCAGTATTACAGAGCTAAGTTCCTAGTTGTTTGGCTTTGTGTCAACTTTGCAGTTGGAGGGGTAATTACTTATCTTGATAGAGAAGACTTGCGTGTATTCCCTTTCATCCTGTGCTGCGTGCTCGCAGGAGTGATCGTATTTAAACTGGTGGTCTCAGGCATGCACAGGGCTATATCATGGGTGCATTATTGATACGTATCATGTCACTTTAGGAAGATCAGGAAAGGACATAAAGGAGGGCTTCATGATGAAGTCAGGAATAGGGCTTATAGCGAAAGTGTGGAGTTTGAGTACAAGAAGTGTGTGTATAATAACGATGACGATGAGATTGATGATGAAGAACCGATTTTGATAGCTCTGGATGATATTATGGAAAAAATGAGGAAAAATTTCAAACTTAAGAATGATATGCATCAAGCTAATGAACTTCAAAAGATGCTTACAATCTCTAAAAAAGTTAGAGAAAGAGAAATTAAAAAGAAAACAACAATGTTTCAGGCAAGAACAATGGCAAAGGCAAACCCTGATGTGATCTCTGCTTCTCACGATCACTCTAACATATCGAAAGATGTCTCGGCTGCTGACGATCCATTTGGTTTTGAAGAACCAGTGGATGGAGCTCCATCATTTTCAAGTGAGACTTCCAGCCGTCAAGAGTCAGAATCTGCTAATTAATTTCCCATACATCACACAATAATCAAATTTCAACTAATATTTTGCTTAACGGGGTTTTGGGGTTTTGGGGTTTTGGGGTTTTGGGG